ATATTAGTATCTTATTTTTTCTGCTAATTATGTGTGATGTTAAGACTTGCTTTAGTCCAAAGTAAGCACTGTTCGCCAGGTATATTCTTCTCTTAATTTCTACGCTTACTAGGTTGCTATAAGATATATAAACTCCGAGACCCCTTCGAATGTGTGTGCTTCTGTCACCAGATCTTGTGGTGCCGCTATTTGTGTGTTGTTCGTGACCTTCATGTATTTTGTTTTGGATACGTTGTCCTGCAGTACCATTGTCTTCGCGGCTTTTTCTATTGTTTCAAAAACCTGTATCAGGTCTCTTTTTGTTCGTGTTACTATGTCAATGTCATCTGCGTAGGCCAATATCTGTACACTTCTATTGATGATCGTACCTCTGGTTGTTATGCCCGATTTCTCTATGGCTTTTTCTAGAGCGATGTTAAACAATAGGCACGATAGACTGTCTCTCTGGCGTAATCCAGTATGTGTTTGATACACCTGTTTTGTACCTTGACTTTGCACTCAACTTTCGAAAGGATTGCCTTTACCAATGTTATTAGATGCGACGGCATATCTAGTTCTGCCATGGAATTATAAAGTGCGCTTCTGTCTACACTGTCATAAGCGCTTTTAAAATCTATGAGAAGGTGGTGGATATCAATTAAATATTCATATGTCTTTTCTAAGGTTTGTCTGAGAAGGAAAATCTGATCAATTGCTGACCTTTCTTTTCGGAATCCACATTGATATTTGCCTATTTTTTCCTCAGTATATACTAGTAAACGATCATAAAGTATATAAGCCAGTTCTTTGTAAGCCGTATTTAAGAGGGTAATGCCTCGATAGTTGTCACATATTAGTGGATCCCCTTTCTTGTGAGTAGGTATTATAATCCCTACATTCCAACTGTCTGGGAGTTTTCCTTCTCTCCAAATGGATGCAACAAGCTTTATTATGTATTTTTTTAGCGTGTTTGATCCATACTTGAACAGCTCAGGAGGTATACCATCTTCTCCAGGGGATTTGTTGTTTTTTAACCTTTTTATTGCCTTGGCAAATTCTTCTTCTGTTGGTATATTATTTTTCTCCCTCTCATCGTCAACGTCTCTTCTGTGGTCATTTATATCAGTCACTTCTCGGTTGCCTATTTTAATTTCTCAGCAAATTTCTCATTTTTTACTGGTATACAAAATAGAAAAATTAATTTTTTAAATGTGATTTAAATTCCAATCATAATACGCTAATCTGTGTTTGTTATTTCTGTATCCCAGACACGCTAAATATACAACGCATACAATTCCTACTGAACAGCGTGTAGTATTCCAATACAAGTTATTGGTAAATAGGTATATTATGTTTCAAAAAAACAACTTTGCAGTTATTCAAAATGCTTTGTTTTTTGCGTCAGTAGTTATGAGTGTAAATGAATAATTTTTAAAATAAGCATTTTACATAAACATTACATTTACTTTATAAGGAGTTTTGCCCATTTGCATTCTGTGTGTATTAATATTCAATAGTTTGTTTTATTCAGTTTATTGTGCTGTTATTGTGCAGTTAACAGAACATTAGGTATCTAGTACTGCGTTCAATGTTCAATTAACATAAAATTATATTTGGTAAGATCCCTGTTCCCTTTATTATATTGCGGTTTCACATTACTACTGAAGCATAATAGTGCAGTTTTAAAGTTAATTTTATTTAGTTAAATAGAAATGGATTCAAAAAAAGTTATTTGGGGCTTAAAATCGAAAAATAAGAGCTGAACAAAAAGAGATGGCAAAAAACAATCTGGCGATCTTATGTATCGGGGAAACCGGAAGCATTTACATTGTCCCACTTTGATGTTATTTTTACAGACCATAAAATATCTTCATACTCAATGAAAAATTTAGAGGATATTGGGAAATGACCAAAAGTTACCCAAAAAATCAGAGTAATTTTAGTAGAAAAAGAATCTCTTCAAACTAAACTGATCAAATATCAAAAGGATACAAAAGGACGAAAATTCAGCAATACATATTTCAACCGGAAATGGGAAAATTGTCAAAAACATGGTTAACATATTCCCAATCTTTAAATTCTGTTTTTGTTATAAGAATTTTGCGATTGCAGTATCTAGTAGTTTTACCTGTATGATTTAAAGATGGGGGAAACTTATCGAAAGCATTACATCGACACAAAACAAGCAGATATAAAAATTTTCTAAAATGGAAAGAATTAGAAAAAAAATTAAAAAATAAAGTAAAAATTTTAAAGTTTATAATCTCAAATCTCTTCCAAATTTTGGAATTTTATTAACGGCTCCAGTAAGCGTACCTTGGGGGCGAACGCTCATTGTCAAAATTAAATTTAATTAAAACATTTAAGAACAACTATGACACAGACCAGACTTAATAGGCTAATCTTATTGATAATGTTGTACAAATTAAAACAAGAATAACATTTTTTTAAACTATTAACATTGTTTTTTACTAAATTTTGTACGATTGCCAAAAATTATAATAAACAGCGGAAGGTCTAGCTTATTAAGTCTAACGGAAAGTTAATAAGTAAACAAAAAAGCAACCCATATTCTGTTAGGTGAGTATTAACAATTGTTTTGCATACTAAAATAGTTTAAAATTTCTCTTCTGTGAAGCTGTTATTACAGCGAAACATGACAAATTGAGAATATTCTGTGAAAGTTAAAAAATATATTCTGAAAGAAATACTAAACCTAGCATCTACGAAAAGATGCGTAGAACCATGGTAAAACCCCGCATATACTTAACGGAGGCTGCAGTTACTGTGTTTATTCTAAGCAATACACAATCGCGGTGTTTTTGCTATGTAATTGGCACGATTCGTGAAAGCATTTGTCAGACAAAATGTATTTCAATCGTCTACTCCTATCTGCTCTAAAAAAGACGGACGTGTGAAGACGGCTTGTAAAAGCAAATATCTAAACTTTGATACGCATATAGAAAGTTTTAATCCCAGTACATCCCATTACAGGCGTGAATACGCCCTGTATCGTAGATACCTGCCTAGTGATTTAACCATACAGGTCATGCGCAAGAATTATTTAGCAACCTTGGTTTATCGAAAGCATCTTAAAAATAAAAATATCTTTCACAAATCTGGGCCATGAACTGTGTGAAGCATTACAACTACACAATAAAGAGCATAATTCTGAGAACTTGAATCCAGCATGTAGTGAATATGATAGCTGGAAAAACCACATTCAACGTGCCAGAGATTCAAGATAATTATACCGTTTGGATACAAATGAACCAGATACATCAGCGACCCTTAAAGTATATGTTGGCTTATAAAATGTCATAATGTTACTAAGAATCGATATGTTAAGAAACAATATTACCCAAGAATATCGACATTCAATGAAAGCTTTGTACCCCTGGGTAAAGGAAAAAAAGAAAAAACTTTTGCATGCCTATGGTAAGAGCGTATTATTGGACGGGGAAAAGAAGCAATAATTAGCTCATATAATGCTTTCTTTTTACATTACAGGTATGTCGAACATTTTGTCCTTTGGGTTGATAACTGCTCAGGTCAAAATAAAAATTGGAGTTTTTTATATTTCCTTGTATAAATTGTAAATTCTAACGAAATGTCTGCTCAAGATATTTGTATTTAGTATTTCGAACCAGGACACACCTTCATGTTCGCTGATGAGTTTCCACCATTAGGTGAAACTATCTTTAAAAAAAAAAACAAAAGAAAACCTACGATTTTAACGATTTTGTGACAGCTGTTGGAAATAACTCTGATAGTATGTTTGAATGAATTTTCTTCAAAATAAAGTTTTAAATAAAAAACTTCCCAGCACTTAGGCATTTACAGCTCCATGTGAATATCAAAAAATAAAAAAGAAACCCTTATTAAAAATCTCAAAACCATAATGCCTTCAAATAGATTACAATTTTGGCAAAACCTTGAGGAAGATAAGGATTAATAAGATAATTTCTTTCTATATTTAATTTTTTTCTTCCTATTAAATTTTGTTTATTACGGTTTATCCGGTCTAATAAATGTATTTTTTTTATTAAATATGTAGTTTTAATAATTTTTAATTATATTTTCTTTAATATTATGCCAAGAAAAAACACTCCAAAAACATAACATCCGTAGATGCTGTAGTTTTACTTAGCAATTCCTAACATTACTTACGATTTTTTTCCCAGTATCTGCCTTAGTAAGCATAAAATTAGGATTTAAATTACTGCTCCTTTTTATTAAACATAGTTTAATTACAGATTTATTGATATAAAGTAAAATCGTTTCTAACCGCATTGTTGTAACAATATCTGCCCTTTTTAAAAGTTGTAGATTCTTTGAAGTCCATTTGCTCATTATTATAAATACTGCAGATGCTGTGGTTTTCCTTAGGAGGGCAGTATAATGATCCAATAAACATATTTAGCCAAATAACCTACTACTAATATATGTCCCAATATTTATAATTCACACTGTATAGATAAGGAAGAAATTGAAAAAAATGTATCAATTTAAACATTTTAATGCCTAAATAAAAAAATTACAAAGAAGTAAAAACTTTTATATCCAAAATGAAAATATTCAAAAGGATTACACTTTTCAAAATATTTTTGGCCCTACCAGACAATCATCAGTGAAATAGAGCATCAGTGAAGCAGCATTCACAAATAGCAACTTTAAAAACGGTATAAAAACCTTTGAATTACATTTTAACTGTTACATTAAATATTCTAATTAAAATGGCATATTGTCGATGATTTAAGATAGAACATAAAAGGGAACATACTGCCCCTTACTCGAAATATTGCACAATTTTAAGTAAGGGTGAAATAAGTGAGAATGCATACAAAAATGGCTTCTAGAAAACAAAAACGTATCTCAACTGAAGAAAAAAGTTTTATAATACAACATGTAGAACCTGGAGAGTTAAAAGTAACAATTGAAACTTTCCCATACATTGTAATTGAGTTTTGTGTTAACTTTTTTTGCAAAAACTCAAATGCAATTAAAAAAATTGTACTCACCTACAAGTTTTCCAAAATCTCTAAAAATCCTAAAGTCAGTATCTGATGGGATTATCCCAGACTGAAATATTTCCTCTCCTGCAACTCGACCGCTTGGATGCGGCACATGTTTGTAAACATGTACTAACCAAGGAGCTCCAGGTCCAGTTTGAAACAAAGTGATCTTTCCCCCTGCTCCGGCAGCTTCTAAATTTAAAATAACTTTGCACTCCTTAGCCCATTTATGCTGTGTTATAAAGCCATGGGCGGCTTGAAGAACCGTTTCTTCAGCTCCATTGAAGAGGAAAATTATATTGTGAAGTGGTCTTTGAGGCGATTTAGACAGTTTCCTTAGAACTTCTAACATCGCCACCACATTTATGCCATCGTCACTGCCCCCTAAAATTAAATGTTAGTGCAACTATTCCTCGTTAAAACTATAATATATACTTCTTTAGTAAGATTATCAAACAATATATGAAAAATAGATTGATCATTTTCAAAAACCTGAAAATTATTAAAAATTCCTTAAAAAATCCATGCACTGTAAAAATGTGATCCAAAGCGTGCCTAGCCATTTCCAAGATGCTATCTTCTGATATCTGATAGTTACCAGGGTGGGAATACTCGCCACTGAACTTCTTAAAATTTCTTCTGTTTCAACGAAACACATATCAAAGAAAAATTGCTCATTTTCATTACTTTAAATAAATTTTAAACATCGTTTTTGCAAGCACTTGATTAGTAAACTATCAAAAAAATATATCAAAAATTTCTAATAACTTTAAGTTATAGGGTGACTTTAATTTTATACTCTGTAGCGTATCTCTCTGTTTCACTCCCATCTATCTAATTTTTGCCCCATATCTTGTGTCCAGGTCTTGCTTGTGTAGAGCACCATAGGTCTAATGTATATACATATTAGTATTTTTGTGGCTCTGGATATTTTCTTTGACTTTCAACCATTTTCAACAGCTGTCTTGTTGAAAAGTTTTCTATTATAGTTAAAATTTTTTCCTATATTCCTATATAAATTTTTTAAAATTTCCCTGGTAAGTGCTTTTTCATTATCATTTTGGTCTACTACTATTTCATCTGGTAGCTGCCTTTTGCATTTGATTTTGATCATCTGTGTTTAATATATTTTTGAAATATTTGGTCTGTCTTTCTATTTTTCATCAATTCTATCTAATAGATTTCCCTCTATATCTTTACATCTTAGTGTGGTATTATGCTGGGCTATTCTTCAAAATGGCTCAATTTCTGCTCCAAAAACAATTTTTCTTTCTTCTACATATTCTTGTTTACTTTCTATAATATTTATTCTTATGCTATTAATTTTGGATTTATTTTATTCATCAACTGCTCTTTTACAGTTTTATCAGACCCGTCTGTTTGTCTTTTTTGTCTATTCCTTGGTAATACTAAGTTAGCTACTCATTGTATAATTTATTATTCTTGTTATTATTAATTGTTCCAAGTTTTGTCGCTGCAGTACAACTAATTTCAAACAGAGGTTTTACATTGAAAAAAAAATCTGCTTATTAATCCCTTACAGTTGATACTCATGTTTTCTTAATATGTTCATTCTCTAATAGTACATAATTATATTTTTTTACTTTTTACAGTTTATTATTTTGTAGTGGATACTTGTTGACAATCCTTCCAGACTTTCACATGTTTACCTTCTACTAACACATGATCAATTTGATTAATTGCTAATTTTCTATACTTTCCCAGTATTCTTGTTTAGCATAACATGTTTGTGGTTGCTTTAAAATCCAATTCACCAAATCAGCAATTTTTTTCTTAATAAGTAATCCAACCCCAAATAATCAATCATTGGCTGTTAAAAAATGTGTAGTTTCCCATTTCTGTGCAAAAATTTTGTTTCTGTTGGGTCTGCTAAATGACTGCAATATCAATATTATATTTGTCCAAAGTATCTATTAAGTTTTTTAGTGGTACTGCAACAAGGATCCCTCTTATCATTGCAATGTCTAATCTTAATCCTAGTTCATATCTTATTCATTTTCAAAGCCTGACTGTTTTGCTTCTTTGTAATAAATTTGTATTTTTTTCATTTTCTCAAGCTTTCTGGTATTGTGGCTTATTTCCACCAGTTATTGTTCACATAAAGGCAAACACTTTTGAAACAAAAGTGTAAACGATATATTAGAGAATTAATGAATTATTATCATATAATTGACATTAACTTTAAAAAATTTAAAATCTTTATCTTACCTGGACTTGTAGGTACAGAATCAAAATGAGAATTAATTAAAACACCAGTGTCAGTCTCGTTAATGCCATGTATTTTGACCACAATATTTTTTATATTAGTATAAATATTAATATTGTCAGTTTTCAACAGATTAACATAATATGATCCACTAGCTAATTGTATATCTAGTTCTAATTTTTGATTGGGATTTGCATTAAGCTTAATCTGATCAATTTCCCGTTTTAGAAAATCAACTGCCAATATTTCATTTTCATATGATCCAACAACTCTTGGACCTATATTAGTAAGAACTTCCAAATCATTAATTGCCCTTTCAGCAATAAATGAATCAGGATAGGTGTTCTAAAAAAAAGTAAAATAATAGAAAAGTTAGTACAAACACAAAAACAAACAAGCTAAGCTTTCAAATATATCCAAACCAAAGAAAGTACCAATTATGTTAAAGACTTGAGTTTAGACTTCAAATAAGGCTAACACATTTTACTTTTCAATAAAGGTATAAACAAGATAGTTGAAATAGACTAAAACTTAATTTTTACATGGCCTGGAGTTTATGCAAATCCTATCATCTATATTTATTTTTTTAATTGATGTGTATTATAGAGATTGTTAAAGACTTTCAGGATATCAATTAGTATACCCTGTTCACTGGACTCAGTCTCAACTTTCTAGTAAATTTGTTAATACATTTTTTGCTATATTAGTCAAATTTTGACTTCCAATGGAAGTGGCTGGAACAAAGCATACATGATCCTATGATTATCTTAACATTAAGTTAAGGCAACTATGATTCAATGGGAAACACTGTTTATCTTTTGAATGAATTAAAATAGAAACTGGCTCTTTACAACTTAACCAATGTATATAACTAAACTCAACAAAATTTATTTATAGCATAATTTTTAACTACACTTACCTCGTCCTTTACATTTAATGCAGTTGGTAAATTTTTATCAACATAATAAACAGCTCCAGTCAATAAAAAAAGGTATAATACAGTTACAATTCCAAAATAGAATGGTAAACTGTGAATATTATTCCTTATTTTTTCAGAGTAATTGGGAGAATCATCATCCCAGTTATTTGGTAAATCAACTCTTTTCCTCATTTTAATTTATTCGGCATTCAACTATAAATATTTATTTAATTTTAAACAATAAAATTTTTACACTATTCGTATTGTTCTTTATTAATAATCGAACATTCTTACGCCGCAGAATACACAACGACAGAGTAATAATTTATGAATTTGGTTTTAATTTAAAACTAAATCAAGTCTGACGTTTGCAAACATAAACCAATGAAAATTCAGTGACTTTGACATGATCAATTTCGTCTTCTAATATTGACCCATATGGTGACATTTTTAACACTTGTACAACCACTGTACAACACGCGGTCACAGTTCAGTGTGTCTATACTGTGACGCGTGGCGGCACAGAATATAGAATAATAAATATAAACCACAGTATATTTTTTATACTGTGCATAAACAATCAGAATGCCTATCCTACTTGAAAAAGTAAGTACGCGCATCTCGTTCGCGCAGACGAAATCAGCCATGTTTTAGTCGGAACCAGTGCTGTTCAGTTTATCTGGTGTGCATAGAAAAATTAACCCGGTTTAATTTATTGACGGCAACCATAGACATAATATGCAATATTTTATTCCTACTTTTAGTTGAAGAATACATTAGATTATTTCAAATGTACTAAAATAATAATCTCAAAAAATTAAATTACGGTTCTGTCGTAGCTTGTCACAAATTTCTCAATTCGAGTCCTATGTCACAGAATAATAAACAATCAGAAGGGCCACTCTCAGATGCCGCCTTTGAAGTTTTTCAGCACGCGCGCCATGTTTTAGGAGGACACAAACATATGATTTGTGAGGTTATGCAATTGTTTACATTTATGTTTAATTATATTATATTTATGTTATTATATTTAAAACTTTTAATATAATTGTATAGTATGTCTATGATTGCCGTAAGTCAAATCAACCTGGGTTTTTTTTCCATGCACACCACATAAACAACACTGGTTCCCTTTAAAATCCTCGTAAAACATGGCGGAACGTCTGCGCAAGGAGATGCGCGTACTTAATTTTCCGTGGAGAGTGGGCATTCTGTTTGTTTATTGTTCTGTGCCTATGTCTAAAATATGCCGATCGCGTTCTGACATACTTCAAAGGCGGCATCTGAGAGTGGGCATTCTGGTTGGTATTTATTCTGTGCAAAAACTATCTTGTCAAAAACACGCAGTTTGAAATTCGGATACATCACCAAAAATATTATACGGGCTTTACACCAACAATAAATTCACGAAGAAATTCATGAATTTATTCATCAATTTCTGTGTCAATAAATTCGTGAATTTCTTGGACGTAAAAGTTTCTTTGACTTCAAATAAATTTTTACATCAAGTGTCATTATTTCAGTAGTACCAATGGTTTTATTATTGGATGTTATTTATTGTTGTTTATTTGAATAAATATATATTTGGATTTGGAAATATAATCAGAATCAGAAAACAATATCGTTTTAAAAAGAAAATAGTGATTAAGATTGTACAAAAAATATAGCTGAATTCGTGAATTCTGTAAAGAGTAAGAACTTGAACAAGAGGTAAAAATAAGTGGAAATTACATTATAATTAGTGAAAACTTTTTATTTTAGACATAGAAGATAATTTCAAATAACTTTAATAAGGACAACATAGATAAAGAAACAGAAAAAGTGGTAATTTGATTTTTTTATATGAAAGAACAAGAAAATCTAGCATTCATTACATACTAAAAATTAACTGTAGTTAGTATAAATGTTAATCAATTCATTGTGACTTTTAGAATGATGAAAGTCTTTATTTAAATACAATACCTGCCTCAACTAAGTAGAAGTAAAGAAGAGAGAAAGCTACAATACTTTTTTATAATCTTTTAACCACTATTCATAATATATATTCTCAAGAGATATTTACCTAATATAAATAAATAGCTATGTTTATTGTTGAAAGAATATTGAGATGTGTACAATTCTAATCACAAAGAGATATTGTAGAGAAATGAATACTTAAAATAAATAAAACATGGAAATAACCAGTAATACTTTACCACTAGTTTGTGAGCTGATTCTTTACAATTTTAATGATTTGTCTTTATTACAATTTGCTTTATTGAATAGTAGGGTAGGTTAGGACTAAACTAAATAGGTGTATAAAAACAATAATTTTTAAATATATAATTTAAATAATAAATGAAGAATCATAATAACAGGAATAAAAACTAGTTTTAATATTTGTTATACACAAACATCTATGATTTTTTTCTAAATAAAAACTGTACAGATTTTATCCGTAGGATATGGAATCCTGCACTTTTAAAGGAAGATAGTCAATTTAAGAAGAAAACTATGAATAATAAAGTATGAGAATAAGAAGAATGAATAAGAAAAAACAAAATAAGTAGCAGGCAACGGCTTCATGTAGAAAAAGAGCACAACAGTAACATGTCAGAGAAATGGAATTGGTGAAGACATGCATTGAAAAGAAATAGATTTATTAGGTTTAAAAATTAAATTATACAAAGAAAAATTTAATAAAAAATAAAAAAAGTTCTATGTATATTAATGATGCTTCCAAGTTTTTCCCATAACACAAAAATATTTTATAGGGTTCTCAAACACCTTCAACTTAAGGAAGTTCAATAATGTCTTTATTTAGCAATTCATCTTCAAAATTGTCTCCACTTTGATTTTTCAATTGAATCATTTCAACTATACAGCCACTTTCATTGGCTAAAATTGGAAACTTTCTTCTTCCATACACATTCTGTTACATATCTGGAATTCATTGCACAAAATTTCAGGATGTATTAGTGAATTGTTTTAGTGGACAGTCTGAATGTGAATTTAAAATCTAATCAATAATATAGAATTATTCATACACCTGGTTCAAAAAAATAGATGAGTTGACTCAACGCAAAGTTAATTTAAAAATCCTATCAATAATACAATATTATCCATACCTATGGTTCCTATCAATAATACAATATTATCCATACCTGGTTCAAAAAGAAAATATATCCAGGGAGTATCACCAAATTATCAGAATTTAAAATCTCTAAATTCTTTTTTTTTGAGAATCATGAGCGGAATGTGACAGCCTAGGTACTATATCACTCCATACTTTTCATTTTGCAATCTTATAATACTTGGCATTTCAAAGAAAACCATCCTTTCCTGTTTCAGAAATCAATAGCATCCATATCTCTTGGAAAACGTTGATTAATCCATTTTTAAACTTTCAAGATGATAAAAACATTTACCTAATGACTAGACCAAGTAAAAGATAGGAGTGAAGAAAAAGGTAGAACTATATAATCTTTTATTAACAAATATTTACTATATATTCTCAAAGCGTTAAATAAATAATATTTGAAAAAAAAAACATGTAAGAAAGGGAAAAGTAAACAATATTTTAATAAAAACTAGAGTTTTCTGCCTCGAAATTTTATGTTTTTCCTAAAAAAAAATACATAATATTATTTTCTGTCTTTTATTATAAAATAATAAACTTACCTCTTTTCCATAATAAATTATTACTTGACACACGACTTAAAAATGCAAAGTTCAATTTGGTTCAATAATCAAAAACAAAATAATTATTATCCTTACTTCGCGCCAAATCTACACAGGTTGGTGATACTGAATTCACGTCCAATAAATGGGAAAAATAGAACATGTTCTATTTCGTCAATTTCTTCACGAAGTTATTCATGAATTTATTCACGGCAAAATTGGATGTCAAATTGTGCTTTACACAGGTCAAATTTGACCTTGAAGCGACTTCACGAATTTCTTCATGAATTTATTGTTGGTGTAAAGCCCGTATTAGAAATACGAACTAAAACAGAAAACGGAGATTTTATGGCGAGGTGAAAATGAAAACAGTAGTGTTGGCACCGGTGGCTGTAAACCAGAAAGTTCCAGAACAGCAATTCTGCTGACGTTGACATTACAGATAATTGGAAAGAGAAGAATTATCAACAATTTTCTAGATTTTCTGTTTTGGTTTTGAATCATTGAATGATAGAAACTTTCAGTTTTTTATTATTATTAATTACAAAAAATATTTCGAAGTTGAAGCTTATAGATCAATGCAATAAGGTATAAAAATGTCGTTTTTTATTTATTTATTAGAATTGGCACCTTTAATTAAATCTTTTTAATGTAGTGTAGTATGAATACATTGTGGTAGTTCAAATTAAGTGTTAGCAAAGAATGTAGACGCTATAAGCGTCTATATTCTTTGGTGTTAGTTTGTGGCACGGAAAGTCTGTTAAATAGCCTTAACACCATTAACTACATATACAATAACAAGATAGATAATGGCTAATAAATAAATCAACTGAAATATTGTGTTCATGCATTAAAGTGTGATATTACTTTTTAAGGTGATAGATTTGCACTTCCAATGACCACTCATGGGGATGCTCAAATTGGTCACTAGTTAGAGGCCAAAAAAGTTAAAAAAATATTCACATCCACATCTTTATACCAACTTAGTATGGCACATTATGCCATATTTAAACATTTATAAACAGAGGGTTGACATTTTCTTTTCTTTAATGGTATATTTGATTTGAATGTCCAACTATTAATACCCTAAAATAAGATTGCATCTAACAACTAGTGCAATACAATATGTAGCTTTATTTAGTTATAATACTTTGTCATTCATTTCTTGACCTGAAAGGAGTCCGTAGTTAGTTAGTATTAGAAAAAACTAATAGTTATATGTAACAATTTTGCTGTGTCTTTCTTATTTCTCAGTCTATGTGGACAGCATCATTTGGTGTTATATAAAGTTCATTCTACACAGGAAAATGTTCTTGGAACAATTTTATTGAAATTATAAAACATTAGAGGGAGTGGGGCATCCAGGGAGTAAGATAGATAAAATTAAACTTTTAGAATTTTCAAGTACTAAAACAAAATTATTTGTATTTTGAGTACAATAAAAAAGTATTAGTAGTTTGGAATGAAAAAAGATGATCATCATCAAGTGATAAGCAATTCATCTAGAATTGAACAAAATGGCTATTATGTTGGTCACTAGTAAGAGGGTAGTAATTAGAGGTTATTTGTATAATTAGATTGCAAAATTAGACATTTTTATGAGTTCTTTTTAAGTATCTTTATATTATCTGCTCTTTTTTAATAGTATATATCCACAATTTTATTTGAAAGTATGTTTATTTGGTATTTTAATTTCCACCTTGTAAAATAATTTCAGAATCATAATTATCTTCATGTTTTGTTCCAGCTTTCCAAGCTTTTTAGATCCAAACATATTCATTGAACAAAATGAATAAATTGTTAGAAAATTTCCATAAAATGCCAGTTATCTCCACTGGCCAAGTTAATGGGGTTGTGGGGATTACAACTGAAGATGATTATTCTTCTACAGATGAGAGTGAGGAGGAAGAAGAGGAATATGAACAAGAATATGTAGCTGAGGAAAAGAAAAAATATGCATCTTTTAAGGTTGATCAGGCAAGTTAAATTAATCTAAATAAGAAGGTATCTTATTTGTTGCTATACAATTTTTCCAATTTTTTTATACCTTTAATTGTATTTTTCCATAGTACAGTTCCACTACATATGAATCTGTTTGTACAGGATATTTATTGTAAGATGCTTGTAGTGAAATAACCATTACACTACTTATTTAAAGATATTCCCAGAGTTAATGCTGGGAACAGACAGACAGTATTCAGTGAATCACAGTGATTCACTATTCACTAAACTACTCTTTAAATGTACTTTATACTTGGTGAACAGGGTATACATACATATGGAGTAGTTGCCAAAGATAGCTCAGTGTTGGAATAACGAATATTTAGTCATTAAAAAATGTATAATGAAGCAATGGTAATAGATACTGCTGCTTTTGTAGTTATTTTATTATTTACATATTTTATTATTAAGAAATCTGTCTCTACTCCACTTTTTGTAGATTCCTTAACCTTATTTTGACAATTCCTAAACAAAATTTCTGTTTTTATGGTTGAAAGATGTAGAAGTAAAGAAGTTTCAGAAAAAAGTATTTGAAGAATTGTTACGGAGCAAAGGGATATAGAGTGAGGTGTAAGTTCTTCTTTTAAATCACCAACTAAAACCAAAAATGGGATAAAGACAGATAAAAGTTGACTACATAGAATTATTATTTTAAATACTTTAATAAAATGAAAGGCAGAGATCGAGCACTGTTTTATTAATTAAATCTTACCCAAGTACTTTCGCTTCCTAGAGCATCTTCAGGGGCATTTCGTCAAAAAGATGCTCTAGGAAGCAAAAGTACTTGGGGAAAATTTAATTAATAAAACAATGCTGGATGTCTGCCTTTCATTTTATCAAAGTTTATTTATTCGAGCATTCAATCTTACATCAACTTATATATACCACTGACAAAATTGTGCCTACAGTGCCGAATATTTTAAGAAAATTTAAAGAAACTGGATATGCAGTAGGTGAAGATTCTCTTCAAAAAGTAATAAAATTGAATATTAACGGAAATACATGATATTTGTCACTTAAGAATAGTTTTTTACATGCCATGAAATTGTATAGATAGTCAAATAAAACAATTATATATATGGACAAAAATTATATTCATGCTTTGCATACTGTTGCTACTTGTTGGAATAATAATTCCAATGAATTACTATCTAGGCCCAATTCAAAAGGCAACAATTAATTATTGTTCATGCTGACAGCGAGAAGGACTTCATTCCCAATGCTCAGTTGATTTTTAAATCATATTCCAATACCGGAGGCTAGGAGTATCAGGAAATGAATCTTATGAATTACAAAAACTGGTTGGAAGAAAAATAAATTCCTAACCTACCTTTAAAGTTGATCGTGAGTATTGACAATGCACCTTACTCCAATGTTCAAAAAGATATAGCATGAAATTATAGCAGTAGAAAACAAATTATGATATAATGGTTAAGGTCTAAGAATATTTATTTTGACACGAATATGTTAAAACCTGATTTGTGCAACATTATTAAATTCCATAAGCCAAAATTTAAAATGTTGGAGATATATGCTATTTTAACTCAACGCGACCTCAGTGTCTTACGATTACCTTCATAACATTCAGATTTGAATCCCATAAAATTAGTTTTGGCATCACTAAAGCAATACTTGGGACAAAGAACTTTGTCTTTTCATATTGAGAATGTTCAACAATTAGGCGAAACTTTTTTGACGAATTTAGTGCTGCAGATTGGAAAAAACGATGTGATGCTGCAAAAAAGTGGGAAGAAAAATTTTTGGAAGTAGAACCATTCATTGACGAAGTAATCGAAAGTTTTGTTATAAATTTAGGTGAAGATTCTAGTTCCGAAACTCTAGACTTGATAGGGTCATTGTACTTAGTAACACCTTTAAAATAACTACATTGTGAAATAAAAACAGATTTTTTTTGAAAGGGGAGTTTTATTTTTAAGTTTGCTAAAGTATTCACAAAATAACTTACCTAGTATATGAAATTCCATGCAAAGGCTGTCATGGAGTGTATATTGGTTAAACAAGTCAGCACCACATTCTAGATTAAAATCACATAAATATGATAAAATAAACACGACAACCCTCAATAATCTGAAAACCAAAAGCACACCTTCAATTTTGAACAAACAAAAATTCTAAAAGTAGAAAAAAACAAAAAAAAAGAGAAACATGAGGTAATACACATAAAACCGTGCCCAAACGCTGTCATTGACAAAAGGGACGTTAATTAATTAAATAAAATATACTTTAACATTTTGTAACTCACCCTATATGCCATAAAACTGTAAAAATATCAACCACATAATCACTAACTTCCCATCTGAACCTTTAAATACACCCACCTAAACTTTACATAGACATAACCCTACAGAATCTGTAGACCTGTCTACTATTTTTCTAGCATTTCTCTTCGTTTTATCGTCAAATCTTATAAACAGTGTTACAAACTGTTATAAAATCTAAATTATAATTTGAGCCTCGTAATGCACCAAAGAGATACATTAACCTGATAAAAGTTTTGACTTCCATTTTGTTTATTGATTTTTTGGAATTTCGAAGCTAACCAGAGTATACATTTTCTAATAATTTCTTGATTTGAATTCAGCAGCAAGCTTTAGGTTTGACACATACAGGGTGCAGCAGTTATCGTTTGCAGTGTTTTTGATTTGCTTTGTATTTGCATTTGACTTGCTCGCACATCCCCAGAGTTGGATTTCGTACATACGGATAAGTTTTATGATAGCTTTATAGACCAGGATTTTATTTTCTAGGGACAGTTTCAATTTCCTACCGATTAGCCAGTTAAGATTTTTCATTCTTACGTCAATTTGTTTCTGCTTCTTAAGAATGTGTTCTTTCCAATTGAGTTTTGAGTCAAGATGTATTCCTAGGCGTGCTAGAGGATTGAGGAAGTTGGATATTGTTAAGTGAAACGGGGGGACACTGGTCTCTTCTCAAGGTAAAAGTTACTTGTACTGATTTTGTTTCATTCATTTTAATTCTCCACTTGTTTGACCACCCTTCGATTTTATTCAGTTGTTTCTGTAGAATGTTAGATGCTATAGTTGGATTTTCGTTGACTGCAAGGATGACAGCATAATCTGCAAACATACCAGTGATGGTTTCATTATATCTCATATACTGTGAATAGCACATATAATATTGGTTCAAGAATGCTGCCCTGTGGGACACCAGATTTTATAGGAAAATTATTGTAATTACTTTCGTTCACTCTTGTTCAGAATTCTCTCCCATTTGGATAGGATTTTTACAGTTTCAGGTAGGTGATGGAAAGATATTTCTTGATTTTGAAAAGCAGACCTATGTGTCAAACCTTGTTAAAGGCTTGACTAACGTCTAGAAAGGCAGCTGTGCAGTACTGTTTGCTTTCCTGAACCTGCTGTATCGTTGAGTGTTCTTTTTAAAAGCCAAATTGGTGGTTGAGTATCCATTCCTCTGTGTTGGGGGCTGAGTTAATTCTTTGTAACAGTAACCTTTTAAGTATTTTGGATGCAATTGGTAGTAGACTTCTTGGCCTATATGATGAAACCTTGGGTTTCATCATATAGGCTTGGGAGTATGGTTCCTTTATCTGTTAGTTCCTTTATCATCTTGGGTGTTCAGCCCAGGAGATGTTTAAATACTGAATTTCTTGTTGAACTTCGTTTTTGGTTAGTGGTCTGATTACTGGTATGTTCACTGGAATGTTATTTATGTCTCTTTCAATTTCAATGTCTGGAGCTTCGTTGTTGTGAGTAAATATGTGAACTAGGTATTTGTGACCAGGAAAATGTAAAATAATATTTAATATTATATATTTTTAGACGTCCTTGGCATGCTGGTGCCTGTGTTGTGCAAATATGTTCATAATTTTCCAATATACTGGCGATATTTCTTTGTGAGATACTGAACTCCTTGACTTTGTACATTCTGCTTTATTGTATCGTTTTATTTTTGTTCACCTAAAATATTCCATTCTTATTTTGTATGTGTTAACTACCTTACATTGACAATTTTAGTTTTGATTTATCAAATTTCTTTACATGCTATTTTTTTTAGGAGCCAAGCACTATGTCAGAAGTGGAAGGGGTTGATGGCATTACTTTTAAGAATAATCCATTACATGTATATTCACAGTACAGCTTCAACACAACATTTCGGAAAAAGGAGCTACCAATTGATGATTTTAAAGACAAGGTAGGTAAAACACCCAAATCTAACAAACTAATAATAATAACAAAAAATATATTAAACAATAATTAGCTTTAGATTTTCAAAACTTTAGGAACATAAACAATTATCCATTGCAGATTCTGTACCATATTGGTATATATAACGTTGTTATAATTCATGGACCTACAGGATGTGGCAAAACAACCCAAGTACCTCAGTTCATATTAGATTATTGTCGCGACGAGGGGAAATATTGTAATATTGCCGTAACACAGCCCAGAAAAATAGCTACAATTAATATTGCTAAAAGAGTGTGTGAAGAAAGAGGTTGGGCAATGGGCACAGTCTGTGGATATCAGGTTGGTATTGAATACTTATACAGATAAATTAATTTCGCAATCAATAATTTTAATTTACATAAGATATATTGGTGGACACCAGTGGCGGTTTTGTGAGATTTCAAGTTACAGGGCGCCAAAACTAATACAAGCTTTTTTCCATGCAAATATAAAAATTTAATATCCAGATCCAGATAACGAATCCTGAGTCAGCATCATACAACCCTACGTGGGTCCTAGCCTCCTCAAGAATTTCTCTCCAGTCGTCCCTATCCATCGCCTTTCTCCACCAAGCAAGTATTCCCATATTTCTCATGTCTTCATCAATGTTATCAAAGAACCTTGTCCTGGGTCTTCCTCTTTTTATTTCGAGCTGGGGAAAAAGGAGCGTTTTTCTAGCTGAGTCAATTTGTTCCATCCGCATTACATGCACTATCCACCTCAGACGTCCTATCTTAATATGTTTTACGATATCTGGTTCCTGGTATATTTTATAAAGTTCGAAGTTGTATCGTCTTTTCCACACTCCATTGTCATTCACTGCTCCATAAATTTTTTTCGAAACATACTAACATGTTTTCATTATTTTTTGTTAGAGCCCAGGTCTCTGAACCATGTGTTAGGACTGGGCGTATTATTGTTTTGCAGAGTTTTATTCTTGTATTTCTCAGTATCTCAGTATTGGTTGCGATCTTGTCAAGAGTTATGGATATATTGTGAACCCAAACATTGTAGCTAGCGATCTGTGTATGCTCTCAACATATGCTAACCATCACACAAATGCTACAACAATATTGATATCATCAGCATAGGCCAGGATTTGCACTGATTTATTATATATCGAATCAGTGGTTGTGATTTGTGACATACGTATTACTTTTTCCAGAGCCAGATTGAACAGTATATAGGAAAGAGGGTCTCCCTGGCGCAGCCCGTTATTTATTTTAAAAGGTTCAGACCGTTTCCCCTGAATTCATATTATACATCTAACTTTTTCAATAGTTAGTTTTGTTAAATTTATCAACTGATTTGGTATTCCTAGCTCTTTCATTGCTTTGAACATTTCTCTTCTATTCACAATTTTTTTCCAAAATTTGTTTCAGGGTTGCAATCTGATGAGTTGTCGATTTATCATCTCTGAAACCAGCCTGGTATTTTCCTACTATCCTTTTTGCATATGGTGCCATACGATGACACAGTACTGTGGAAAATATTTTATATGCTGCCTTTAGAAGCTTAATTCTTCTGTGGTTAGAGCATTCCAAGATATGTCGTTTCTGTGTATGGTGCAAAGTATTCCAATATTCCAATCATTGGGGAGGGATTTCTGTGTCTATATTTCTTTTATAAGCTGCTGTAATATCATTATGGTATCATGACCACCTTCTACCTCCACCTAGTTCAGCTGGGATTTTATTATCTATTCCGGGTAATCTGTTTCTGGCTAGTTTTTTAACTGCATCTTTAACTTAAAGAATCGTTGGAGGTTCCTCTTGCCTCTTGTCTATTCCCCTTACCTAATCTCTTTCGTATTCCAGGTTTTCTTCTTCTACCTCCATATTAAGTGCCTGGTTAAAGTATCCACCCATCTATTTAATACATCTTTCCTTGTTGTTAATAGGTCGCCATTCTGACTTCTGCATTCTGTAGATGTTAACTTTCTTATAGAAATTGAATTCGCAATTCAGGCAATGGTCGCTACCTATATCTGCTGAGTTAAGGCATCTTACGTCGATTGTTTTTGATGAAAATTTAAACTGACCACATAAAATAAGCTGCTCTTGTACAAACGTATAATAAAACCGATTTAGACCTATGGAATCAATCTTTGGGGTTGTACAAAGCTATCAAACGTTAAGATAGTACAAATAGTTATATCAAAAATATTGCGAATGATGTTCAATGTTCCCTGGTTTGTAACAATAAAACATTACACAAAGACTCAGCTATACATTTGGTGGGAGAAGAATATCAAGAAATTACCTTGACAGACTGAAGAGATCACCCAAATGAAGAAGCAAGACTTCTAAACGCTCCACCTGGAATCGCGAGACGACTGGCTAAACTATGGCTAAAAGGCTGAATAAACTTAATGTGTAAACTAATATACAGTCGGTTATAAGGAGGTTTGTCAGAGGACAACTTCTCTCTCATCTGTGAAGATTCAAACCATTTACTTAATTATTTCAAATGAAGCAAATTGTAAATTAGATTGTAATAAAACAAAATTTTAGTGTCAAATACTAAAAAATATATGTTTAGCTGATTGATGGTTCATCAGTCATCACTATTGAATTGAAGTTGCAATTGAATTCTTTGTTTCTAACACATACCATTTTATAGGTGGGATTAGAGAAAAAACTTTCACCTGACGTGATTTTAACTTATATGACTACAGGAGTGCTACTTCAAAAAATTATTCACTTAAAAAGATTAACTGAGTACACTCACATTATTATAGACGAGATTCACGAAAGAACGCAAGAGTTAGATTTCTTATTACTGTTAATAAGAAAGTTTTTGTATGCACAGAATTCTTCAACTAAGGTATGTATAACTTAATAACCTTATGACCATAAAATTTGTGAATTTTTGTTATTAACTCTATTCCAAAATCTTTGGATAAAATTATTTTTTTATTTATTCTTCAGTTGTCGATTATTATTTTGAATGATTAAATCTTTTACACATTTCGTATGGCCCAGAGGAGAGAAAACGATATTATTAAATCGTCTTCGTTCATTGTCATTAAAATAGGTGGCACCTTTTATGGTATGGTAGGTATGGCACTGGTATGCTAACCACTGCAGTGATCAAGTTTTAGGAGACATTCGTTGCACTTTCCGAGTTTGAATTTGTATCGGTCCGAGTGTCTGATAAAGTAGAGATGTGGAAATTAGTCATAGCACTATATTGATACCGATTCGAGCACGGGAAGTTAAACGAGTTTGTCCTCCTAGGCCATAAATTTTTACCATTTAATTCAACAAAGCGATAGCAGCTTTTGCTAAAAGATTTAATTTTAATATAATCTGTGGTTTTCTGAGAGGTTTGATGGCGCATTGAATAACTTTGGCTTTTAGAAAAAGCATTGGGTTGACGACGTTTCGGCAAGGTCACACTTACCATTATCAAATCAGATTAGTTCTGCTCCTTCCAGATGTTTGAAGAGAACAGATCAGTATTATTGTTTTGTTTTCAGATTATTTTGATGTCCGCTACCATTAAAGCTGAAGAATTTGCGGATTATTTTCAATGTAAAAACGATGTTTCGTTCTTAGCTCCGATTATTCATGTAGACAGGGAGAGTATGTATACCAAAACACTTTTTTACTTAGAAGACCTTAAATCTGTTTTCGATAACACGAGAGCTGAGGTAAGTACAATACTCATCTCCAAAATTAACTATGCTTATACTTATATGTCAATAATTAATATATACTGCTCCAAGAAATTAACGCACCATTTACAAAAACAAATAAAGCGATTCATTGGTGTTGTATTTGTCAAAAATTGTATTAATTTTTGTATTGAATGTACCATGTATTTGCAATTTTTTATCAGGTTACTTGTTTTGCTTTTTGTTTCAACCGGTTTTTAAGGAAGATAAAATAAAGGTGCTGTAAATTTGTTAATGTCGATAAGGGGTATAATGCCATTTTTAAGTCTTTGTGTGAACTATTGCTGTTTGTTTTACAAAGTAAAGTAATACAAGAAACAAAATGCTTTTCATTTCAATTAATATTTTCATGTTATATGGTAAGTTTTGAAGTGGTGCGTTAATTTCTTGGAGCAGTGTAGATATACAAAAAAAGTGTAACATAATATTTAAACTCCCCATTTGGTTTATATACACTTTTATTTATTTGTACAATTGCCTTACTTCACATCTACTCAATACATATACAGTGGAACTTGGTTATAGCGTCATTGAAGGGTCCAGTAATGACGCTATATCAGTGACGTTATAAAAGAGGTAGAAAAACATGAAATTTTAACAAGGCCAAAATTTTATTACATCATAATTTATTAATACAGCTACATTTAGGAATACAAAAATTAAGAAACAAAACATCATGTATATGAAACTTACATTTTTTATGAAAAAGTTCTCTAATACTGAAAAAAGTCACTTATTTTCTTTGCACAACCCTTTCTGAAAAATAAAGTTTTTCTGTAGTGTCGTTAATAATCAGAGCTGCTTCTTTGGTAGTTGTGGATGCCTCCCTGAACTGGTAAAACCTGAATATGGTCTCAACAGCTCTTATTGTTTCTTTGATTGTACGACAATCAACGCCTTCTTCTTCTTCATCAACATCCATTTGCACATTTTGCACTTGTTCCACAATTTCTCCACAAGTTTTAAACTCTCTCTGGTTTACATTAAATTTTAACCGGACTCCACGCATTGTCTAAAAACTTAACTGGCTCAAGGATGGTTATCTTCAGGGGTTACACTTTGTTCATACAACACATCATTATTTTCAAAATCTGTTTCCCGGTAATGGCATTTTAAACTTCTGATGACTCCTTGTTTTATAGCCGGCAAGATACTAGTGCAGTTGGTTGATAAGAAAACTAGATTGATATTGGTCAAATTAAGCTTGGGATGGGCTCCACAAAAATTTTTCTTTTTTTTTGAATAGACTTCCTTGTCCCACTTTCTCAATTCTTTTTTAAAAATAGCAGAAGTCATCTAAGCTTTTTTGTTGGCTGTGTAGTTTACAGACAGTGTTTTTATGTTTTTGAAACATCTAGGATATAAACTTTTCCCAATAACCAAAAGCTTTCTCTGTCTGACACCACTTTCATCGCCATTGAAGATACCTTCATCCTTGTATGGTTGCCTTAGTTGTGACCATGTGTTTTGTAACCAATCACCTGTCACGTTGTCGTCCACAAATTTTGCCTCTCCAACAATTTTTGCGAAGGAAATTGAGTGCCATGCTTTTAACCGATCTAGCTAGCCGTTAGAGCATGTGAAATCTTCACCAAAAAGATTTCCGAACTCTGTAAGGACACAGGAATATCAGAACTGCGACACTGCTTGTCTACATCACCACGAATGCACTTCCTAATGTTTTTAACATTTTCTCCCCTCATTAAAGGCTCTTTAAATTGTGCTTTGTTTTTTAGGATTGAGCCGACAGTCGAATTAACTTTTAAAATAAAATAAATATTTACCTATACATAAATTACACCTGTATGTATAATATGTTGCATACTATTAAGACAGGTTTAAAAAGTATAATCACCTAAGACGGGCCTCTAGTATTTCTTGAAAAGAAAGATAACATCAAGTACACTTAATTACATGTTAAATACAGTGTTTTTACTTTCATTCTCTGTGCATATGAGTTAAAACACACCAGTAAAACATGCCATAAACAAAGTTTTACCATCTTTACCCTAAATTTTAAAAAATTTAGAATGTATTTTGTCCATGATTGTATATTTTAATATGTGTTATAAATGTTGAGTGTCAATGCTTTTATAAATAATCTCTACGACTAGTAAGTTATACTGAAGAATTGTGATATTTTTTAAATATTTACATATTTGTGTTATTACAGTGTCTTAAAAAAGGAATGAAACCATTTCGAAAGCTAGACAAAAAGTCAAAAGAGTGTTTTTTTGAACATTCCGGCCAATATTCTGACTGCATCCCTAATAAACTGTGTTGTATATATATATATATATATATATAATATATATATATATATATAATATATATATATATATATATATATACTATAACTCAATAGAAGTATATCGGTGATTGCTGACTCAGCGTCGAAGGGTCGGGAATACAGATCCGACTATACTACAATAATATGTTTATCTGGTACGAAGTCGATATATCAGTAATTTTCTTGTTGGATATCAAACATGGTGATTATAACGTGAAAAAATGAACTAACTCACACCTCTGATCTCACTAAAGAGCTCAGATTAAAAATATTCAACGGTTTCCGTCTAAAAAAGCAGTTAGTTACCATAACATTATTTTAAATAGTAAAAACAAACAAACCGGAGTTGTAAACTCTGTTAAAATTAAACTTTTTTTTTGCAGTTTCCAACTTTCGATATAGATAAACCAGAAATTTCAGAAGGTCTCTGGAAAGTTTTTACTTGTCTGGTATCATTCATCGATCGATTTGATTTTAAAGATAAATATACCAATGAGCTTATAATCGGAAGTATTTTGGTATTTTTACCCGGTATTTACGAGATTGAGGAGGCTCATAAATATCTTCGTGAAAATTGTGAAACTCATGCCAAGAAGCAGAATACCAATCGTATAAAATGGGATATAATACCTCTACATTCCTCCCTACCCAATGACGAACTTGCCAAAGCTTTCTTACCGACGAAAAAAGGATACAGGAAAGTAATTCTATCCACTAATATTGCAGAGAGTTCCATCACAGTTCCAGATTCGTATTATGGTATGTTAATTTGTTTTTTTTTAGTAGTAGTTAAAAAGATACACATATGCAATTCGATATATCGAAACAATTTGTGCGTTTTGTCTAGGGTAAACTTAAAAGCTATTTTTACTATGTAAAAAAGTTATATACATGGTAAGAAAATGAGCCAAGATGTTGTTAACTAAAACCTATGTTTTTTAAATCAGTCATTTTTCCAGATAACTGCTTGAATAATATAAATAAATCAGATTGAAGTAAACTTGTAGATGGCGCCGCATACACAATATTCAATAAAAGCTATCAGTGATAACTTTTTGTCAATGATTATTATAAAAGGTACTTATTTAATAAAGAGAGTTGATTAACTTTATAATAAAGAGGTATATGTCTTCGATGTTCAAACTATTAATGATTTTTGATGTATATTTGAATATTACTATTTTTTATTTATGCTCAAGAGGCAGTATAGACCTAGGGCTACAATATAAATAAATCATTACATATTTCAAAAATGTATATTTAGGTGTCCTAAATGTCCATTTAGGACATCACCATCACCCCTATTTTTTCTATCCAGGCATAAACTCCTATTTTTCTGAGATCTGCTTGTACGCTATTAAACCATCTTTGTTTTGGTCGTCCTTTTCTTCTTTTAGCGATTAGGCCCCGTTTTAGGACCATCTTTGGCAACCTTTAATTATATATTTTCATTACCATCATTTTCACTATTTCATGTGCCATTAATCTAATTCTTTTCGACCTTATATAGAACCTTATATAGAGGCTGATGATAGGTTCATTATACAGTTCTTCTATTTGTTCGTCATACCCAACCTTAGACTGTGTTTTTGTCCTTATATGTAGTACTAAGCATTTATCTTTCCCAATTTTCCGATTTTTGGTATTTTCATTTAATACATATACATAATACATATACATATACAATTTTCATTGTACATACCGTGTTATAAATTCTTATCTTTGCTTCTCTCGATACATGTTTGGATTTAAATAACTCTCAAATGATTAAACTGGTCCGCTCTCTCGAATTTATATTCTTTTGCTTCGTTGGATGAAAAAAAGTATACCTTGACTGATCCTGGTTTATTTCTAGGTGAAAATATCTTTTGACTAGTATAGTCCGAAACATTCTTGTTTTCGTTATTATTGAGAGTATTGCAATTTCTAAGAATGAATCTTTAAAACTTTAGTTGAAGTTTCGTTAATTATGATATTTAAACGTTAATTTAGAATCAAAAATTATGTGATATTATTACGTGCCTCACAAAAGTACATTATTTATACAATAATAATTTATTAAATCCCTTGATCTACTAGAAATAATTTTAAAACATTTGTTTATATTTAATTATAGCATATTTACGTCACACTAAGTAGCTAAGCTTTTAAGATCTTTTTGTAACCAAGAGGTATCAACTAGGTTATTAACTATTCGACATATTTTAATATCTTCAGCCAACATTAAAAATTTACTACTTTTAATGACTGATAATATATCATTAACAAATATATTGAATAAGAGAAGCCCAATATGGGACCCCTGAGGAACTCCTGAGATCACAGATACTCGCTGAGATAAACAATTTCCATAGTTTACATACTGACATCTACCAGACACATAACTACTTATCCACTCAAGTATTTTACCTCAAAATTCATAGCCATGTAATTTAGCAATAAGCAGATCATGGTTAACTCTATAGAAGGCTTTAGAGAAGTGTGTGTAGATAGCGTCAACCTGACCCTTATGTGCAACTGAATTAGTGACAAAATTAGTATACAATATTAAGTTCGTGCATGTAGACTTACCTTAATAAAACCATGTTATTAAACATCAATTAAATCTTTTCAATCCCATGTTAACAAATTACTTACAAGACATTAAAACAATTTGGGTAATATTGATTGGTTAGAGACACCAATAGAATACCAATTGGATTAGAGAATAGATTGGTTAGAAAAGATACCACTACCCAGCCAGCTTATATACAAGAGTATATAAGCTGGCAAACAATCTGGTCCAAGCGATAATTTCCAAGGCATCCTTAAAACCCTATCAATTATTTCAGAAAGCTTAATATTATAATTATTCTCATTGACACTGCTGATAGTTCAAAATTGGGATCTGATTAGTTTTAGAATTAGAATAGGTAGTAGAAAAAAAAATACCAAATAAATTAACTATATCCTGACCATCATTACCTGTACCAGCACCATAGAATATACTAGACGGCAGATTGTAACTTTTTCGTTTACTATTTATATATTTCCAAAAATATCGAGGATTAGATACAATTCCATTCTCAATATTATTCAAATTGTTTGTATAACATTGAGAGGAGACTTGTTTACATTCATTTCTTTAATAAGAAAATCTTAAATAATCATCCCTTCTATCAAATAATTTAAACAGCGTATGTACTTTCTTTTTTAAATATGTCAATTGCCTTAATCTACCATCAAATCAAACCGGAAACGAACTGGTTTTAGTTTTTTGAGACCCTTTATTATATTTTTAGTTTCTTATTTACTAGGTGCTTCCATTATTATGTTATTTTTTTTGTTATCCTGTGTGTTCTACCCGTTCAATAATTCTCCAAAATGTCTTTTCCATAACCCATACTTGCTTTATTGTTACTTGTCATCATTCCGTCTTCTTTTTTATGTATGTATTAAAATTACGATATCCTTTTTCAGTCTTTTTAATTTCTTGGTAGAAAGAATATATTTCTTTTTTTTTGTAATTTTTCTTCTAGTTCTTATAGCACTTTTTCGTTGTATTTCCTTTTCTTTCGTCTACATATCCTTCTCATGGTGCTTCTTTGACCTTTTGTATTCACAGTAACGTTGGATCAGGATATCACTGTGGTTTTTCAGTGTCAATTGTTTTATTCTTTCTTTTCTTTCGCTTAAGGCATCAGTTCATTAGTTCACAAGTTCATCGAACTAGTTCTTTTTTATTTTATTTTGATCCCAATGCTTTTGTGGATTGATTTTATCATTTGTTGTAGTTATTGCCTTTTTGTAATCTGCCACATTTGCTCTAAGCCTAGTTTTCCTATTCTTTAAATAATTCTTTGAATATTACTAAATGACTGTTAAAAATTTTGCTGCGAAAAGTTCTGCTAAGTAAATTTTATCTTCGTGCTGTGTGTTAATTATGTAGAAACGCAATGTAGGTTGTTTTGACCGAAATGAATACGTTTCTATCAATTGAATATAAATATTTTGAAATATATTACAGTTTGGCTGCATTCGGTTTGGGTATATTTTTCTTAGTGATTCTTAATATTCTCATATTGATCTCGGTCTTGAGCTACTTGTAGCAATTGGTCTGCTGTTTAACCTCTCCACTGCCGCAAATTTCTAAACCATCACAGTTTCTTCTGGTCTATCTATCTTCTGATTATGTCCAAGCTATTCTAGTTTACATTTCTTAATGATATTTAATAGAGCTCGTCCTATTTCTGAAGGGTTTCTTCGTTTCTGGTTCTGCTGGTCCATGTCATTTTGAGTATTCTTCGATACAACCACATTTTTGGGGTCTTAAAATTGACATTCTCGGCAAAATTCAGTTCGTTCGTATACTTTGTAGAGCTTCGGTGTAATTTTCGTCGCTGACGACTGGAGTAATACCGTACATCTGTGTTTTAACAATTTTGTGAAATATAATTTTAAACTTTTAGTAATTGACTTCTGCATGACCAAAAGGATGACGATCGACCCTATTACAAAGTATATGAGTTTAAGACTTGAATGGGCATCGCAAGTCAATTGTGAACAAAGAGCAGGACGAGTTGGACGTATTGGTGATGGAAGAGTGTATCGTTTAGTACCTCGTGATTTTTATGAGGTAAGTATAAAACACCGCCCTTATTCCAATGTTTCATGCGTTTATTCATGTCAATATTTATAAAAATCATTCAAAAACTTTTAGTAGTTAATACTTTCTTAAAAAAATATAATCAGCTATTTCTTAATAATTTATATTTTTTTGAAATGTTAATTTTAATTAAAATTGTTTTAAATTAAATGATTAATTAGAAGGGGTATATTTTTCAAATACCCTGTTTATCTAGACTAATCAAATATTGTTTTAGGAAAATATGGCGGCAACCAGTATACCAGACATATTAAGAGCCCCATTAGAACGAGTAGTTTTACAAGCAAAAATGTTGGAATTAAATGATACTCCTCAACAAATCTTGTCATTAGCTCTGAGTCCACCCAATCTGAAGAATATTAGAATGACAATTCTTAGTCTTAAAGAGGTAACTATTAACTTTTTTGAATAAAACACGGTTACTCAGCTCAAGACACAACTGCCTGACATTTCTTCTTAAATGGTTTTTTTGTTTAAAGTATACTCGGTTCGCTATTCCCAGTCCGAACTGTCTAGTGAATTTAGTAATTATTTTTTTGCAAAGGTAGTTACTTTTTGACAGACTAAAAGTGGCGGGAAATTACTATACAACCAAGCACACGTACTCTTAGTCAATTTTAATAGTAAACAAACTAAATAGTAAATAAAATAGAATTTTGCGAATTACTGACAATCAATATTTATTTATTTGCACCATATAATAAATAGTTTTTTTTTAATTATAACAACTAAAATATATTTTTTAAATAATTATATACTACCAAAAATTTGATGGATTTAGTATACACTTCCACTATTTAGAATAATTCTTCTTTTTTCAAAGAAAGAAGTCTGCAATAGTAGTATACTTTTGAGCTATTAATACTGAGAAGTAGGAATTGTTGTGTTGTAGGTTTCCGACAATGAATCTGTCAAAAAATACCCGAGCTAAGCGAATGGAGTATATCTATTGTATCGCTAGTATTGTATTGTCTCTTATATTGTTTATTTAAGCGTATCTCCATCTATTTTCCTATTACTTTGTAATATTGATTCATATTACATTTAGTTTGAACATGATATATACAATCCTGGGACTTATGCTGATAATTTCAACTATATTTTGTGTGTACTTTCTATGTATAATGTATCCTACTCCAGCATTTGAAGTGTCTTCTTCACCTCTAAAATGAAATACGTGTCCTGATTTAAGAGTAATTTGCGCTTCTCCTCTTCGTCTTATTTCACTCAGGCCGATGATGTCCCATTTTATGTTTTTTAGCTCTTCCTTCAGTTCCAACATCTCTGGTCTGATGTAAGAGTTCTAGCATTGTATGAAGTAATATGTGTTAGTCGCTCTTTGTAGTAGCCTAACTTTTCCGGGGATTCTTAGCACCCTCTGCTCCAAACCTGTTTCAACCGCTACCTTTCATGGAAAATAACTTTTGGGGTTTTAAGCCATTAAAACTACATGCTTGGCTAGTGCGTTTTGGCGAGTTGGTTTGGAAGTGGGGGGAAGGAAAGGGTGGAAATGGGAATGCTTTGGGTTTGGACATGGTTTTCCCGGGGATAGGAGGCTGGGGAAATCCATGAGCTTGCGGGGGTAGGTGTGCTATTTCTGAAGTAGATCTATCCCCTGCCGGGATCGCAAAGAAGTATCCACCCGCTACCCTATAAATACCTTAAAATAAAAAGCTACCTTATAATAAAAGATTCTGCTATTGATGTGCCTTGTAGAAATCCAAACAGATTTCGGATATTTCTGGGATATCCTAAACAGATAACGTATCCGTCTTTCTTTTGCTCTGTCCCATATTGTCGTGATATATCTAAATAGTGTTATTTCCCTGTAGTTTCCATAATTTTATTAAATTAACCTGTTGGACAAGTTGTTCCTGTCTCTTAAAGCTGTTTATACTTTCCCAGAGATATCATCTGGTCCAACTGCTTTATCTTTCTTTATTTCTGTAGTGCTTCAAAAACTTCCTCGTTTGTTACTTTTGTGAGCATTGCTGTTACTGTCTCCGTTAGCTCAACTAATTTTCTGTAAAATTGTTCATTTAATAAACTGTTTTTTGGTCTCTTTTATTGGTAGGATTATTCAAGAAGGTATTTGCATATGGGAATAGTTTGGTACCTACATGTGGCACTTAATTTGGTTTCTGGTAGCTTCTAGTGACTTTGATATAAGTTTGAGCATTGATTTGGTTTTGTTCGACTTAAAAATACACTATTAAAAGAAATTAACGCACCATTTACAAAATAAAAAAAGCGATTCATTGATGTTTTAAAATTAATTGTATTCATTTTTGTATGGAATATACGATGCATTTGGAATGTTTTTATCAGGTTACTTGTATTATTTTTTTGTTTCAACCGGTTTCTAAGGAACACAAAACAAAGGTGCTGTAAATTTGTTAATGTCGATAAGAGGTTAGTGTCATTTTTCAGTCGCTGTGTGGACTATTGCTGTTTGGTGGTAACATTTTGTCATTGTTTTAATCAAAATGTAACGCGAATCGAGAAATTAGACTAATGAAGAGTGTGCTCAAATAGTGGTTTAGCACGAAGAAGGTTAGAGTTACAGGCATTTAGGGGAAAGGTTCGGCGTACATCATAAATCGGTCTCACGAATGATGGAACGGTACAGAGAGACCGGTAGTCACTCTAGGCGTGTTCGCGTGTACCGACGTCAGAACGAACGATATGCACAGTGTAATATGCGATTCTTCAAGACCACGTTGTGCCATTTTCTCCTTATATTGGTGAACATTTTGTTCTAATGCACGATCGCACGTTGCAAATATAGTGCAAAATTAGAGGAAGTTGGAATCGACGTTATGGAATGGCCAGCGAATAGTGCCGATCTCAATCCTATAGAGAATGTTTGGGACTTGCTTGTTAGACGTCTACGGAATTTTCCTAATAAACCAAACACTCTGCAGGAACTGGAACAACGTCTTGCCCAAATTTGGAATGAACTGGATCAGAATATTTTAAGATCGTCTATTTTAAGTATGAATCGTCGATGCGAAGCTGTCATTCGTAGCAGGAGTTGAAATACGTCTTATTAAGCAAAAAAAATGAACAATTTGTATTTTTAGAATTAGAGATTTTGTTGTTAATTGTTTCAAGATTGTGTTAAGTTTATGAATATTGAAGATGGTTATCGACAACATCACTAAATATGTTTGTTTCACAAAGTTAAGTAATACGAAATAAAATGCTTTTCATTTCAGTTAATATTTTCCTGTTATATGATAAGTTTTGAAGTGGTGCGTTAATTTCTTTTAGCAGTGTATATTTAAAATAGGTATATTTACGTGATTTAGTTTCATTTTTACTGAATTCCTTCTGGCCGCTTCGTATTTCTTTGAACGAATCTATGCGAGTCACATTATTTAGGTTGCCTGAATATCGCCTCAGTGGAATTGCGCCTTTAGGAAGCAGATCGTCATTTCCGAATAATTCGTAATTATAGTATAATTAAGTAAATCACTTGTTTTTAGTTGTACTTTGGTTATATAAGTTATATTTATGTATACTGGTAAAGTTACTAAATGTATACAGTACTGACGAAACGAAAATAAAGTAAAGTATATTCGTTTATTGTCAAGAAACCATCTTAAGATGTTCTATGATGTCCTATAACTTCTTAGAATATGAACTTTAAAAAATTAAGTCAAATATCGAGCACGAATTTAATAATCAAATCTTGCCCAAGTACTTTCGCTTTCTACAGCATCATCAGAGGCATTTCCTCAAATTTGGGCTATCCAGCAAGCGCAGAATGTAATAAACATGAAATTGGACATAAATTGTACATAACACTACATTAAAACAAGGACAAACAGTTTAAAATTATTAATAGGAGAGAGAAAATTTCTCTCTGCTGTTGCCGATAAGAATGTAGAGCGTAGAATAATTTTTAATGATTTTAAACTGTTTGTCCTTGTTTTAATGTAGTGTTATGTACAATTTATGTCCAATTTCATTTTTATTACATTCTGCGCTTGCTGGATAGTCCAAATTTGAGGAAATGCCTCTGATGATGCTGTAGAAAGCGAAAGTACTTGGGCAAGATTTGATTATTAAATTTGTGCTCGATATTTGCCTTAATTTTTCAAAGTTCATTTATTCGAGCATTCAACCTTATATCAATTCTTAGAATATGTTCTTAGCCATAAGTGAATGTGTATATCTAAATTGTGGTTATTAACATTCATTTTCACTATACTTGTGTATAATCTTAATTATATTGTAGTTTTTAAAATAAGCCATCTTGTTTGTAGGCAGGTGCTTTGTTACAAACTTGCCGAAATGAATACAAAGTAGCCGATGGTGACCTTACATTCTTAGGACATGTTATGGCATCTTTGCCAGTAGATATAAACCTATCCAAACTAATAGTCCTCGGACATCTATTCAACTGTTTACAGGAAGCTATTATAATGGGTAAGTTGCACTGATGTGAGAGTACTGAATACATTTCATAATAATAGCGCCTTAATAGATTGGTCCAAACTTGTACATGTCAACTACTTATCAATAAAGATTATATATTTATATTCTTGGTATATGGAACTTTGTAGTTCTAACCCGTTTCACTACATTTTACACTATTCCTCATTCCTCATTTTTATTAACTATGCGTAGGCCATATTGGTAACGATATTTGCAGCATTCTTTTATAGCACCAACCAACGTTCAAATGCCATTAATTTTTTTATCTCTAATTGTTTCATAGATTTTTATTACATAGTGCTTTCTTCATGTTTACAAATTTGGCTCTAGCGATTTCTATACTAATTTTAATCTCTTAAATTTGCTCTGCATTATAAGTTATCCATGTACCTAAGGACTTATACTTATTTACTCTTTTTATTTGATTATTATTGGTATGTAATATTTCGTTTTCTCGTGGATGTTTTGTGCTAATCATGAATTTTGTCTTCCTTAAGTTCATTCTGATGACATATTTGTGACAGTATTCGTTCAGTCGTTATATATCTACCAAAGTTTGTAAAGTAAATATAACCGTTTCATCCACATACCTCAGGTTGATAATAATTTATCCATTTATAATCATGCAATTTTTACAATCTTTTAGAGTCTCTTTGAAGATGGCCTTACTGTATATGTTAAATATCGGCGGTGACAATAAATACCTCTTTCTCAAGCCTCTAAGAATATCTACCCCTTCTGGTAGTTAATTTTCTGTTCATATTTTGACTTTCTGATTTCAATGTAAATTTTTATTGTTTAATTTTAATCCGTGTTACGGATGGCAATGTTCTTTGTTTTTAGAATGTTAATGAATTTGTCGGATTGGAACCTGCCGAAAGCCTTTTCAAAATCAATGAAGCATGTGTAGACATCCTGGTTCATATCTAAATTTCTTTTCATGAGCAGATTTATTCGGAATATGAATCGTATTGATCATATTAATAATTATATTATTCCAAGAATAAATAAATGCCTTCTTTGTTGTTCTAAAATTTTACCGCAATAAATAGTATTTAACCAAGAGTATCTTTTTATTTTTAGCTACCGGTTGCTCGATACAAAACATATTTTCCATACCGTTTCAAAAAAGATTTGCTGCTTACCAAAAACTGTTCCTTTGGGCTGACGATTCCTTTAGTGACCTAATAGCTTTGCTCAATTTGTATCAGGTAAGTCTTTACAATTTACTGATATAAGACGATTATTAGATCATATATGTATTGACACGATTCCTATGTAATTCCCTTTTCGAGAATACAAGAGAAGTTTTTACAAATACAATCTTACTATAAATAACCGAGATTTTTTAGCAATATATATTCCACATTTCAAAGATTAATTTGTATAGGTAATTTTGTAAATAAAAAAACTGTTAGGGGAACGCAGTTACCAAATGATTATGTTTTAATTTCTTTAGATGTGGTGTCGTTATGTACAAACATTCCACTAGATATAGTCACGGACATTATATAATCAAATTGAGTGCTTTTGTATTGTTATTTTTAAAAGTAAATCTAATAAAGACGAAGTTCAGGAACCTATTGGTAACACACACTTTGTATGGCATTATGCATTCATCCCAGTCAGTTTATCTTAAAAAGAGTTGTGTCAATTTTACACTGTCAGAAATAATGATTAAAACTATGAAAGCAAGAAGTTAAGTTTACATTAATAGAATGGTGAATATATTTTTATTTTAAGTTTTTTACTTTTAAGAAATTGTTTGTTTATTATTTTTGTTTCTTTATTTGTCTTCGTTTGTTTCTTTTACAAAAAATTAAATATATTATTTTTTCTACTTTGTTAATTTCTTGTTCAGAAGTAAGTACGATCATCCGTACTATAAAATACCGATACCATCTAACTCTTGAGACTAAAATCGTATTATTTCTTGATAACAAAATGAATTGATACAAACTTGTCTTTAATTGATAAGTTAATTTGTTTGAGTTTGTTTCAAGTTTTTTTCGATTTATTGTAATGGGTGGTGTTCTTATTTCAAAGAGCATGCCAAAATGGATGATTTAATATCGACTGATATTGCTAGGGCCTTAACAATGGCCGAAAATGTTCGAATGCACAGGGAAGTTGCTGCAATGTTTGGTAATTCACCATCAACTATCCACCGTTGTATAAGTCGTTGGAGACAAACTGAGGAGTATGTATGAAGAATAGGACAAGTGAAAAAACTTTTTACCACGGCTATAGATGTTCGATTTATAATGTTGCAACCATTACGAAATAGACGTCAAACGGTAGTTCAAACCAAAAACCGCAAAATATTCATGGAACCACCATAAGTGAGCACACAGTAAGAAGGAGACTTAAAGAAGCCGGTCTTAAGTCATACGTGCCAATAAAAGTTACCAGACTGCAGAGACACCATCGTGTAGCGCAACTACAATTTGGTCAAGAACATCAAAATTGGAATGATAACCATTGAACATAAATTATCTTTACGGACGAGAGCCGTTTTTCTGTAAATAGCATCGGCGACAGAGGTAGATTGTATCGACGCCAAGGAGAGCAAAATACACCTTTCAATTTTACTACGACCTTACCTTTTGGTGGACGTTCAATTATGATATGGGACAGTATATGTTGGGGGACACGAACAGAACTAACAGAGTTAGTGGTGATTGAAGATAGAGCATTAACAGCTGATATATATATATAATATATATATATATATATATATATATATATATATATATATATATATCAGAGATATTCTCCAAGACCTTTTGCTTCATACATCGGAGAAAATTTTATTTTAATGCAGGATAATGCGCGCTCATACGTCGCACGCTTTTTAAGAGACTTCTTATTACAAGTAAATAATAACAATGAAAGGATCGTGTTATATGCTAGGCAGAAAATTTAGGGCACGGATTCTTGTTATTCAAAACAGAGGAAGTAAGAATCGTGTTGATTGAGGAATGGGAGAGACTGCCTCAAAAACTGATCGATAGCTTTATCAGAAGTATGAGAACACGAATGACTGCAGTTATAAGGGCTCGTGGGGGAAACACACGCTATTAATGCCAAACAAATGCATAAAAAATAATTTAAGTTCAAATTGTACTACCATTGCAATACAAATTCAAAATACTTCACCAAAATTCTATGGTTGTTCCTTTATATATATATATATATATATATATATATATATATATATATATATATATATATATATATATATAACCAATCTTCATAAGCGATTCAGTTAAAACAGCAACACCTGTTTTGATTTGAATTTTTTTATTTTTATTTAAAACAAGATATGCACTAATCAAATAACAATTTATTATAATTATATTTTCGGAAGTGCTGCAACCATACCGTTCTCGAAGCCTACTTCATTTTTTCCTAAAATTATTTTAAACAGCCCCTTGTCACCCCAATCTTCATTCCATGAATTAGCAACTAGCCAATAGGGAGTTCCATTTTCTTTTCCCCATCCTAAGACTCTTACTGCATGACCTTTTAGAGGAATTCCAGCAACATGTTGATAAATACCTAAAACAATTTGTTTTATTCGTACTATAAAATAATAAATACTTGCCACACTGTCATTCTTGGTAAGATACAGCACAACAGCAACACTAATAAGAAATACATTACTTATATTTATTAAACTATTATTAATATTTATTAATTGAATTTATTATAAAAAGTTTTAGAGAAACAGTTTAATTATGGTGTGGGGTGGTATATGTTTGGGGATATGAACAGAGTTACTGGTGATTGAGCAGTATAAAGCATATGTGGAACATGCTAGACAGAAAACTTAGGGCACGGGTTATTGTTATTCAAAACAGAAGACGTCAACATTGATTTGATTGAGGAATGGGAGAGACCGCCGCAACAACTGATCGATAGCTTTATCAAAAGTATAAGAAGACGAATGACTGCAACTGTTAGGGCTCGTGGGGGAAATGAGACCGACCTGGGCATTGGTGTACAGGAATTCGCATATGTGGATGACCTGGTGGTACTAGTGAAGAAAAACGGAAACTGGTCTATCATGCATAGAGGGAACCGAGCCTTCAACAAAGTGAATACTTGAATGGAAAGCGGGATCCTCATGCTGGCGGCCGAGAAAACTGAAGGTATGATCCTCAAGGGTCCGAGAGCCAGATACCATATAGTTTTTGTCCTGTAGGGAGCAAGGATCTTACCAGCCAAAAAAGTACTTGGGAGTAGTCCTAAATATGAGGCGAACTTTTGGTGAGCACTTTAAATACACCTTCGCAATGCAGAGAGGAGGACTGCGGCACTGACAAGTATTATACCCAATGTGGGAGGATAAGGAACTTCCAAAAGAAAAATTTTAATGGAAGTGGTCCACTCTACTGTACTCTACACGGCACCAGTACGGCAACAAGTACTTAACATTAAGACACGCAGGAGGGTGCTAGAGAAACCCCAAAGAAAGGCGCTACTAAGAGGGATAAGGAAGGATAAGAGAAGGATGAACAGGAAAAATATTAGTAAAGAATAGCAGCATAACGGAGTGGCAGGAAAAATGGACAATGAGCATAGGGCGGTCTGGAATTAATTGCAAATATGGCTGAATGGATGAAGTATGGTGAGAAGACATTAATTACTTTTTCACCTTGTTCCTAAAGAAGGAAATATTATAGAGGGAACTAGAGCAAAGATATAAGAGAGAGAGAGAGAGAGAGAGAGATGAGAGAGAGAGAGAGAGAGAGAGAGAGAGAGAGAGAGAGAGAGAGAGAGAGAGAGAGAGAGAGAGAGAGAGAGAGAGAGAGAGAGAGAGAGAGAGAGAGAGAGAGAGAGAGAGAGGAGAGAGAGAGAGAGAGAGAGAGAGAGAGAGAGAGAGAGAGAGAGAGAGAGAGAGAGAGAGAGAGAGAGAGAGAGAGAGAGAGAGAGAGAGAGAGAGAGAGAGAGAGAGAGAGAGAGAGAGAGAGAGAGAGAGAGAGAGAGAGAGAGAGAGAGAGAGAGAGAGAGAGAGAGAGAGAGAGAGAGAGAGAGAGAGAGAGAGAGAGAGAGGAGAGAGAGAGAGAGAGAGAGAGAGAGAGAGAGAGAGAGAGAGAGAGAGAGAGAGAGAGAGAGAGAGAGAGAGAGAGAGAGAGAGAGAGAGAGAGAGAGAGAGAGAGAGAGAGAGAGAGAGAGAGAGAGAGAGAGAGAGAGAGAGAGAGAGAGAGAGAGAGAGAGAGAGAGAGAGAGAGAGAGAGAGAGAGAGAGAGAGAGAGAGAGAGAGAGAGAGAGAGAGAGAGAGAGAGAGAGAGAGAGAGAGAGAGAGAGAGAAGACTTTATGCGGTGAGTCTGTGAGCACGACTCCTCTGGAGGACTCCATGTTGACTGAATCCAAGACACGCCAGGTCATTCTTAACGAGACACGGCCTGTTACGGTCTTTAGAAAATTTACCTTCTCCTTTTTGTCTATTAAATGGTTTTTAAAAGATTATATTTGTCGCCCCTTAAAATATGGCCTAGATATGAGAACTTTCGCTGTTTCACGATGTTTAAAAGCTTAAGTTAAAGGCTTTAAGTATTAGGCTCTTCCTAACACATTTTAATGACGATATCAATATTGATTAATACTTACCTGTTTTGTAACACAAGAAGTCTTCATACACCGCGAAACTTGCTTCCACTGGGCCATTCGTCAATATCTCCTTTTTAATGTCCTCAACTGAATTGAAGTAATTTACTGAACCTTCACCAAAGGTTAATTCTGATGTATAATCGAGTTCGGGGTTGTCACATTTGTGTTTACAAGCTGGTGTGTTGTATTTCAAACTACTGCATTTCACTCTGCTACCATTTACATGATGTTCACATGGCAGTAACGAATATGGTCTACATCCCTAGAAAAATACACTTGTTAGAGTATAGTATTATAATAGAGTATAGTATATATCCGACGGTACTTCAAATTACAAGAGTTGGAATAGATTACATTCTGCGGTTTATATAAATAAGAATGCATACTATTTGCAAGAGAGAGAGAAAGAAAGAGAAAGAGAAAGAGAGAGAGAGAGAGAGAGATAACGACAAAGATTCAGCTAAAAAGAGTATATAATAATATAATAATTAGTGAGAAACTAGGTTTTCCTAATCGTGGGAGGGCCAATACAAATTTAAAGTGCTGTATCAATATACTTTTAAATTGTTTTAAGAAAATTTAATAAAAAAAAAGAAATGCTTAGAAAAATAATCTTATTTTATGCTAATATATTGGATCTGTAGAGAATAATGTTTGAAAAAGACCGTCTAAAAAATAAGTATCAAATTAAAACATACCTTCATATTATAAGCAATTAATTAAAAGTTTACCTGGTTGCTGCCATAAAGACCTCCTGTAGAAATTCCTGTCTCTTGCCAATATTCCCATGCGCTTTTTGGATCTCCTCCTTTGCACCCACGGCCACAGGAAGAGCAACAAGATATTAGATCCTCAGCAGAAACTGGAATTTTCAGTTTTCCATTCGATGCTATACATCGTCTGTCACTCATTGCGGAAGCTGCAGCCACGGCCTTTAATCAAACGCTCTTTTAAACTTTCACATATAAATGAATAAATAAGTTTAGAACTGTCGTTCTACATTATTTAAGTTTTTTCAAACGGTAAGCAGTACTTTTACTATTCGTGTAGTATTTAGGCTTTTATTGCTATTAAAAACTATAATTCTCATAAGATTACATGAGCGACATATGATTGTCATTTTTAAAAATAGATCATACAGAAGCTGAACAACGATAGAACTAACAACATACTAAATCCAAAGATATAAAATAAATAATTTGCATAACAGAAACCGTAAAAAAATTGGATTGTACAAAGTCTGGAATCTAATAAAAAAAAATTACCGAACCAGGTCAGTTACATATAGAAATTGGACGGATTATTTAAACTTAAATCATTGTAAACCCGGCTATAATCCCCAAACAAAATGCGAATTAGAAAACTTTTTCGTCTACTTCCGTTTTCAGGGACCGCTCTTCCTTACTCTCTTCACCACTCATTTCTGTCCATCTGGTCTTCTTCATTTAAATCTTTCTCTTTTAAGTCCTCTGCCACACAGTGCTTCCGTCTTTTCTTCTACCTCTTTTTCCTCAACTTCTAACAGCTTTATCCTTCGTCTCATCTAGTTCTTATTTTAGTCACTTGTTCAATTGAAACTTAACTTTGGAAACA